AAGAATACATTTTTAAAAGGCAGCGGTGTTGTGGTGGTAGTGGCAGCCAGCTGCCAGGGTCTCAGGAGCCTGGCCCTGCACATTGCTGCTGTGGGCTGGACCGACAGCCATGCCACAGGTCTTTGGAACAAATCATGGGATGCAGCTTCATTCAGATGTGGTAGAATATGCCAAGGAAAATTTGAGCTTTATAAAATATAGCTTTGATAAATTTGAGTTCTGTGAACCTTCATTGGTGGTTGGTAATTGCCTCCAGAGATCATCTGACAGACATCAGTATGATCAGATTTATTGTGATTCTAGAGTCCAGAAAAAACTACATGAACATTTTACTGAATGGGGAGGCATACTAGTCATGCTTACAGAAAATCAGTTAACACAGATTATGCTAACTGGAGAAGCCACTTGGGAAAGTAAAAATAGCCTTGCTATTTCATTTGCTCCACTTGTGCACCAAAGTGAGAATGATTATGGCAAGCTTGCCATTGTTGGACTGCCTCCCTGACCTGTCAGAAAACTGCAGGACTTGTCCAGTATTTACATTTGCTGCAAACTTAGAACTTAGAACTTTCATAAATGATAAGATGCAGGCCAAAGGGATTTCCCAAAAGGAAAAGAAAGAGAGTGAAACAGAAGTAATAGGCAAGTCATTGTAGGTAATAAGCTTATTCCTCAACCTCTAGACAGTGAGGAGGATGAGAAAATGGAAGATTAGATAAAAGAGAAAGACCACCGTGAAGCCATGAAGCCAGAAGGCCTCCTCAGATTCACTGAAGACAGCAAACATGAAGCTGCCCCTCGTTGAGTCTTTAAAATTTACTTGACATATTTTAGAAATAAATTACAGATTGATAGAAAGAACGACTCCTGATAATTCCTGTAGTCTCAAACCTGTAGCATTTGCTAGAAGTTAAGAGAATTATTTCTTTCATAAGAGTGAATTATAGTGGGGCAAAAAGTATAACTTGTTTCTCTCAGTAGCAAAAAAGATGTATTCAGTCATTAAAAAGAATCTCTTTTATAAAATCTATTTTTTTAAATCTTGGAAAATGCTATTTATCTCAGACTGATTTGAAAGTGGAATACAACCATAGTCAAGACCTTGTGACCTATAAATCCTTTTTCTGACTCCTTATGGATTCATAATAGTAAAGCTTACATGTAATTTTATGTAAGGTTTAAATCATTGTTAAGCATATAAATCTGGTTTGAACAGTAGTTATTTTATTTCCTCTACAAAAACTTTCTTATAAGGAAAACAAATGCTTTATAGACCTATTTGCCTTACTTTGTTGCAATCATTATTTCTGTGTTGCTGTAGATATATTCCAAGCAATATATGTGTGCACCAATAATGCTAGGACCACAAGGAGTCATAACTTTTATGTAATTTTTAGAACTTTCATATGAGTAACATACCTGTATAGACACAATTAAAATTAGGCAACCTGTGCAAACCCAGCAATGCATTCTACACAATCCAAACAACCTAAATAACTATTGCATCTCCAAGATGAGGCTTATATCCTTTGACAGCTCCAGGAATCCAACTGGAAACATCAAAGTCAAAAGAATTAATTTACAACTCTGAATCTAAAAACAAGTCTATCAAAGATGTCAGAGGTTTAAAACACTTGGTCAAAATAGGATCCCAGATCATTCTGAAAAATAAAAATCATCTATCCAAACAAGGTGTTTCAGCCAGAGCTATATATAAACTAGATTTAACCAGTCACAAAGTGATCAATCAAATATTTCAGAATGAGTAGATACTCCAGAAAAATCTTAACTCTTTTAAGACTCAGGTATTTTAATTTTAGATTATTTGTTTTTATTGTCACACAATAGTTGTACATTTTATAGGGTACAATGTAACATTTTGATATATGCAAACATTGTATTGATCAAATTAGAATAATTAGCATCTGTTGCTTCATATATTCAAGATTTCTTTGTAGTATGAACATTCAAATGTCTTTCTTCTAGCTATTTAGAAATATACAATATGTTATTGTTAACTATTTTTACCCTACTGTGCAAGAGACACCAAGATTTTTTACAATAAGAAAAATAACTTTAATTCAATAAATTACATCTGAGGTTTTTTTTTTTTTACTTTTTTTTGAGAAACTTAACTTACTTTAAAGAAGAACCCAAGAATAATACATCTGTTGTGAGTACTTAGATATAACTATAGCTTATGAGACATAAGAATAACTTCCACTTAATACACTTAAAAGAAGTAAATCTTTGAGAACAAGTTTTACTACTAACTCTCATAATACAACTCTCGGAGGACAGAAGTCCTCCATGGGAAGTTAGTCCACAGTGACACTTGTTAATTTAATGATTAACACTCTTATATATGATGTCAGTGATCACATGAGGCCCTTGACATGGTCTGCCTAGGCAATGGGAGCCCTTCGAATCCACAAACTACTTCAGTATTAGACAAGACTATAAGCAAAGTGGAAGTTCTCTCCTTCCATCAGAGAAAAGCACATCCTTCTTTGGTGGCCATGTCTTTCCATTGGGATCTCACCCACAGAAGTTCTTCATGTAGGACAGTTTTTTCCACAGTATCTTGGCTTTCCATCACTAAAATGCTCTCATGGGCTTTTCAGCCACACCAGAAAGCCATAAGGGCTTATTCTGAGAACAGAGTGCTACTTCAAGCAATTGTCATTCTATGAGTAAGACTTAGGTATTTTCAAGCAATCAGAGCTTAACAACAATAACAGAAAATCCAAGACTCAATACACATGAAATCTTCATTTCCTAGCTCAGTTACTAAAACAGCAAATAAAAAAACCCTTGAATAGGAGAATTAGCACACATACTCACCCTACTACTTGAAGCAGTTTAAACATATTGAGAAAAGTAGAGGTCAAGAATCAAATCTCTAAACTTTTTTGGGGGGGGGATTTTTTTTCTTTTTTTTTAAACTTTTATTTAGTAAATATAAATTTGCAAAGTAGTTTATGGATTACAATGGATTTTCCCCCCATAACTTCCCTGCCACCCGCAACCCTCCCATCTGCTCCCTCTCCCATTCCATTCAAGATGCATTTTCAATTATCTTTATATATGGAAGATTGATTTAGTATATATTAAGCAAAGATTTCATCAGTTTGCATCCACACAGAACATAAAGTGTAAAGTACTGTTTGAGTACTAGTTATAGCATTAATTCACATTGGACAACACATTAAGGACAGAGATCCTTAATGTAAGTAAGTAAGTAAGAGGAGGAGTAAGTACACAGTGACTCCTGTTGTTGACTTAACAATTTGACACTCTTGTTTGTGGCGTCAGTAATCTCCCTAGGCTCTAGTGATGAGTTTCCAAGGCTATGGAAGCCTTTTTTTTTTTTTTTGACAGGCAGAGTGGACAGTGAGAGAGAGAGACAGGGAGAAAGGTCTTCCTTTGCCGTTGGTTCACCCTCCAATGGCCACCGAGCCAGCGCGCTGCGGCCGGCGCACCGTGCTGATCCGATGGCAGGAGCCAGGAGCCAGGTGCTTTTCCTGGTCTCCCATGGGGTGCAGGGCCCAAGCACCTGGGCCATCCTCCACTGCACTCCCTGGCCACAGCAGAGAGCTGGCCTGGAAGAGGGGCAACCGGGACAGAATCCGGCGCCCTGACTGGGACTAGAACCCGGTGTGCCGGCGCCGCTAGGCGGAGGATTAGCCTAGTGAGCCGCGGCGCCGGCCTTGGAAGCCTTTTGAGTTCACTGACTTCAATCTTATTTAGACAAGGTCATAGTCAAAGTGGAAGTTCTCTCCCCTTCAGAGAAAGGTACCTCCTTCATTGAAAAACTGAGGAAATCTCCAACTAAATGCAAACTGTAAAAATAGAAAAGTTGAAACAAGGAAAATTATAATCAAAGATGGGTTAAAAATGTCAAAGATCAGATTTCAAAATTCAAAGATAAAAATTTCTTGTGAGTCTTTTCCTATCAGAAAACCTGGTTGTTTTGACTTTAACATTTAACATTAACAAATTCTAACTTCATAACAATATGCCTTTGACATTAATACTTAATTTATAGAAACTCATATGGCCAATTCCATGGTAACATCAGCCAATGTTATTTCACACAGGATCCATCTTTCACAAAACTAGAATATTTTATATTTCTCTCAGCTGATTGTCCTGTTCTGTTCCTTTTTCCTTGCCAACACCATTTTACTTTAGGACAAATATTACTCACTTTTCCCCTTAATCAAAACACATCATTTATATTCCATAACTTCATGCATGTCTGTCTATGACAAAGAGATTTTTAAACTTTTCTCTTAATATTGAGTGTCATATATTTGTTAGAATTATTCCTTAATCTTAGTTACTCAATATCTAGTTAAAGCTTAGTAAACAATGTTAAATTGACATATTTTAATAATTTATGATAGCAGCTACTTATCAGCCCAGTGCTTTTTATGGAATTTAAGATGTCAAATTTACATTTAGAAATATTTTCCTTCTTCATAGTTACCTAACTAAGTTTTAACAATTATACTTAGATTTAAGAAACCAAACTATTAGACAAGCATGGTTGGGCCATTTTCTTGACAAAAAGAACTCTAAAAACTGAATTTTACTTCATATATATGAAGCAGTGAACACTGTACCATACATGTTTGGTTTTAAGTCAAAATTACACCTTTATTATTTTAAATGTCTACCAAAAATAAGTAACATTTGCTTGACTAGCAGACCTAGGCACAGACATATGTTAATAACTCTGAAAACATTTTTATTTTGTTTTTACAAAAAAATTATTTGAAAGGCAGAGTTATGCGGTGGTGTGAAAGAAAAGAGTACAAGTATGGGCCAGGGCTGGGCCACACAAAAGCTAGTAGCTGGAAAATCTTGGTCTCCCACTTGGTTGGCACCCAACTAGTTGGGACATACCCATTGCCTTCTCAGGCCCATTAGCAGGAACCCAAATCAGTAGTACAGAGTTGCTGGGAATTCATCTGGCACTCAATTATGGCTGCAGACATTGCAAGTGATGGCTTTATCCATCACACTATGCCTACTCCTTTACCAACAAATTTCAGACAACCTAGTCTACCACAGATTTATTTAAGGCATGGGCCCCAAGAGTACTTAGATTAGTTTCTTTATGTGAGTACACATTTGTCCATGTGCCAAATTATCAGAAATAGTAAGGGTATTTTACATTACAGACACAACTAGTACCATGTACAAATGTGTAACACACACACAGTTCTCACCCTACAAAATCACATACCCAACATGAACAATCACTTACAACGAATCAATTGATGTGGCCCATGGGACACATTCCCCTCCTCTGCTATAGATGGGTTCCTCTAGGTCCTGGTGCAGCTTCTCAATTTCACCAAGATGCTCTTCCCACAGGTCAGCCCCTGCAACCATCCCACCAGGACAGAGAAATGGGAGAGAGAAAATGCTGGTTACTACTTTGCCAGAAGAATGGACTTTGCCAGCAGCCCCTCAGCAAGATCACTATCCTCCTGCCAATCCCTTTGTCTCCTCATACAGGCACCCAGAGGACTTTGGTTAACTTTGGCCCAAGAGTAAATGAGCTTTCAAAACCAGAGAGCCTCCTACTAAGAAAATCCCATGGACCTCCTCCCACACAGTTGTCTGCTATGTGAGAGTTCCATGTTTTAGAAAAATAACAGAAAGATTCAAGATAGGACCTACCTAGCATCTGGAAAGCTATGGCCACCTTCTGTATGTGACTTTCAGGATGACAGAGACAGCCTCACTTGACCTGTCTTCTAATATTACCTTTCATTTTACTGATACACAACTTAACATCTTTAGAAAGGACAAATCCTTTTGTAAAACCCTTATAGAGAAGCTTAATGTAAAAGTACATTATCTTCAACACATCCTACATGGTTAGTTGCTGATAATGGATGCATCAGACAGCCAGCATTAGTCCATGGGTCTGCAGGTGGGTTACAGGAGGAAGGAGAACCTCCAAGGAAAGAAAAGGATTCAGAAAAACAGGAGGAAGGCTAATGAAAGGTTACATTACCCGCACATTTCTTTTCTGAAAACTACAATTGTCTTTCTCTTGGAACTGAGCTGCATCACAGTATTTGCCTGCCTAGAGATACCTGCCCACTTGGTATGACTGCCTTTCATGCATTGGGTATATATGCAGGATGGGGAACTGCTTGCCTCTGTATAACAACATCTTGCAGCTAGAAGCCAGTACTTGTTAGTGCTTGTGCCTAGAAAACTGTAAGAGTGGCCATGGGGACAAGAGATCCTTAATTTTCCCCTTCCCTTGCAGAGCACTGAGGCCTCAGGCATGGAGAATTAAAGGATGTACTTAGAAAGTACCAAGTGTGTGTGCAGCCCTTTCACTTCATACCCACTCTGTGAGAAGGCACCAGAAAGGGAATGGAAAACAGCCCGCCCAGAAAGGAAAATAAGTCAAGTCTTTGGTATTCTTCAATTTCTCTTCTTACTTTCACTTAGTTTAGAGATTCTCCCCCTTTAGTTATGTATATATTTTATCCACTACTTCATTTTTAAAGAGGTTAGAAGGTATTTGTATAGTATTGGCAGCAAGTAGTAGAAAATGCTATTATGGCAGCTTGAAATGAGGGACATTTTTCTTTCTGACTTCATAAGGAGTCCACAACTGGGTGGCTGCTGGCTTTGGTTCAGTCTCAGACAATTATTGCCAATTTTTCTATGCTTCTATTAGATTTTTATGACACAATTCTCATGTTAATGTGATATTAATACAAAAATGAAGATGTATTCCATGTAGTTCATAGATACAATTTGGATGTAGCTTTTATTGAAAATACTTCTAATGTGGTTGGCCACAACTGACAAAATAAAGTTATACTTCTATTATTAGCCTTATGTAAGATTTATATATTCTGTGTAGTTTGGAGTTTGGGAGTCACAACTAAAGAAAGACTTTCTACAGTAATATTTTGTGTCTGTTACTCTTTTTCGCCCTCCTATTGATCTTGGAACCATCATGGAAATAGTACAAAGAAGACAAAACTGAAGCTACACCAAAGTCAAATTTAAGGTGGGTTTAAACCTCACTAAAAAGAAGAGAATTGTTGTGTCATAATTTTGCTTAAATAAATGGATAGACATAATGGATTTCTCCTATTATTTTTTCACACTTGATGTTATAGTTAGTTCTAAGTCCATTTCTAAGTAATTTAGCCTTTATTTGTTAAGTATAAATTAACTATTCAGTTGAGATGATAAAGCAGATTTTGTGGAATATAGTATTATATGCCAGAAACTTATATCTAAAATGACTATTATAGGCTATTTCTGAAGGAAAGTCAGATTTACACCTTGTGGTGCAATCCCCCTATAAAAGCAATATACATAGGGGAGCTCATATCAAGCTATTACTTTAGCCCTGACAGTATAAACCCATATTATCACTCATGAAACTTGTGACCATTTGTTTCAATGATAGCAAAATCACACCAAATAAAAAGCATTACTTTTTTGAAATTTTATAGAAGTTACACAAATTTCATGCATTTCTTATGTACAGATTTAGGAACATAGTGATACATCCCATGCAAACCTCCTAATACCCAAGACCAACCCTTCTTCTTCCTCCCTCTTCCATCCCCATTCTTAATTTTTACAAACATCTACTTTCAGTTTACTTAGTTATCATAAGTTGTAGCCTTCATTAAGTAGAAATTAATGATAATCAGTTTAATTTCTAATAAGTTTGTATCTTTTAACTGCACAGTTGAGGTCATTTACATTCAAGGTGAGTGATGATAAATAATGACTTGCCCTTCCATTTTTTGATAAATATTCCTATTGTTAAATTTGGATTTCTTTTGTACTTCTACTAGGGGATTTTCTGCCATCTCATTCTTTCACAATTATGGATATCATTCTGTGTTTCTGTGTGTAGCATTTCCTGAAGCATCTTTTGAAAGGCTAGATGAGTGGCAACAACTTCTTTCAATTTCTGTTTGGTGTAGAGAATCTTTATTTCACCTTCATTCATAAGTGAGAGCTTTGCTTGGGTACAGTATTCAGAATTGAAAGCTTTTTTTTTTCTTTGTAGACTTGCACTATATTTCTCCCTTCCCTCCTAGCCTGTAGGGTTTCTGATGAGAAGTCAGCTGTGAGTCCAGTTGGAGATCCTCTAGAAGTAATCTGGCATTTCTCTCTTGAATATTTGAGAATCTTTCCTTTATGTTTTATTGTGAAAATTTAGACTACAATGTGTCATAGTGACATTTTTTTCTGGTCATGTCTGTTAGGGGCTCAGTGTGCTTCCTGTACTTGGACATCCCACTCTTTCCCCAAATTGGTGAAGTTTTTGTAAACATTTTACTAAATAATCCATCTAGTCCATTCTCTCTTTACACACCTTCAGGAAATCCTAAGACCTGGATGTTGGGTCCTTTGATAATATCCCATAGGTCTCCAAAGCTATTTTTACATTTTCTATTTTTATCTTGTTATGCTTTTATTTTATTTTTTTTGGTCTAACTGTAATATTTCCAAATATTTCTCTTCTAGTCTGGAAATTATTTCTTCTTCCTCACCATGTCTGCTGTTATGGCTGTCCATTACATTTTTATTTGATCTGTTGAATTCTTCATTCCTAATATTTCATTGCAATTTCTCTTCTTCCTCCTCCCTCTCCCATTCCCATTCTTACTTTTACAAAGATCTATTTTCAGTTAATTTTATACTCATGGGTTTAACCCTACACTAAGTAGAGAGTCCACTGACTAGCATGAGAAAAAAAGAACATAAACAAATAAACAAACAAAAATCATTGTTCTTCAACAGTCAAGACAAGGGCTGTTCAAAATCTCGGCATATCAAGAAGTGTTCCACTCCTATAGATTAACTTTTAGATATCCCTTTAGTAACCACAGATCAGAGAGACCATATAGTATTTGTCATTTTGTGACTGGATTATTTCAGTAAGTATAATGGTTTCAAGTTGCATCAATTTTGTTGCAAATGACAGGATATCATTTTATCACTGTGTACTATTCCATAGTGTATATATACCATAGTGTCATATCCAATCTTCTGTTAATGGATGTCTAGGTTGATTAAATATCTTCATTTTTAAAGATTTTTTAAATGTATTTTAGAGGTAGAGTTACAGGCAGAGAGAGACAGAGACAGAGACAAAGGTCTTCCATCCACGGACTCACTCCCCACAATGGCTGGAACAGAGCCAATCTGAAGCCAGGAGCCAGGAGTTTCTTCCAGGTCTCTCACACAGGTGCAGGGGCCCAAATACCTGGGCAATCTTCTGCTTCTTTCCAAGAACATAAGCAGAGAGCTGAATTGGAAGAGGAACAGTTAGGGCATGAACTGGCACCCATACAGAATGTGGGCATCACAGGCAGAGGCTTATCCCACTGTAACACAATGCTGGCACCCCCATATCTTAGCCATTGTAAATTGAGCTGAAATGAACATGGGGGTACATATTACTCTTTCATATACCAATTTCATTTCCTTTGGAAAAATTCCAAAGTGGGATCTCTAGATCATATGGTAGATCTATATTCAGATTTCTGAAGAATCTCCATACTGTCTCCCACAGTTGCTGTATCAGTTAACCTTCTAAGAGTGCAAGAGGATTCACTTTTCCCCACACCCTTACCAGCATTACTTGTTTGTTGATTTCTATGGGAAGACTTTCAAACAGGTGTAAGGTAAAACTTCATTGTGGTTTTGATTTGCACTTCCCTGATGGCTATAGATTCTGAGCATTTTTTCATGTGTCTGTTGGTCATTTGAATTTCTGCTCATCAAAAATATTTGTTCCTTTGCCCAATTTTTAACTGGGTTTTTTGTTTTGTAGTTGTTGAGTTTCTAGAACTCTTTATACATTCTGTAAATTAACCCTTTATCAGTTGTATAGTTTGCAACTACTTGCACCTACTTGTCTGGGTATACAAAGCTAATTGACTTTTTTGTACTAATGTTATATCCTGATGCTTTACAAAACTCTTTTATGAGTTCCAATATTCTCTTTGTGGAGTCTTTTGGGTCCCTTATGTATAGAATCATATCACCTGAAAATAGGAATAATTTGGTTACCTCCTTCTCAGTTTGTATCCCTTTAATTTCTTTTCCTTCCTAATGGCTCTTTCTAAATCTTCCAGGACTATATGAAGCAGCAAGGGTGAGAGTGGGCATCCTTGTTTGGTTCTTCATCTGAATGGGAATACCTCCAATATTTTCCTATTCAGTAGGATGCTGGTTGTGTGTTTGTCATAAATTGCCTTGGTTGTGTTGAGAAATGTTCCTTATATACCCAATTTGCTTAATATTTTCAACATAAACAGGTATTGAATTTAATCAAATGCTTTCTCTGCATCTATTGAGATAATCATATGATTTTGTTCTTCAGTTTGTTAACGTGATTTATCACATTTATTGATTTTGGGGTGTTGAAGCATCATTGCATACAAATAGATTGCACACAAATCCCACCTGGTTCAGGTGAATGATATTTCTGCTGTACTGTTGGATTAGAATGGCTAGTATTTTGTTGATGATTTCTGCATCTATGTTCATCTGGGAAATTTGTCTCCAATTCTCTTTTTCTGCTGTTTCTTTTCTGGTTTAGGAATTAAGGTAATGCTGGTCCCATGGAAGGAGTTTTGGAGGATACTCTACCTTTCAATTGTTTTGAAAAGCTTTATAAGAATTGGAACTATTTCTTCTTTAAGTGTCTGCTAGAATTCAGCAGTGAAACCACCTGGACATGGGATTTTCTTTGTTGGGAGGGTCTTTATTACTGATTCAAATTCCATCTTGGTTATTGGTCTGTTTAGATGTTCAATGTCTTCATGACTCAATTTTGGTAGATTGTCTGAGTCCAGGAATCTATCCATTTCTTCTGGGATTCCCAATTTGTTGGCATACAGCTCTTTGTAGTAATTCCTGATGATTATTTTTATTTCTGTGGTATCTTTTGTTATGTTTCTTTTTTATCTCTGATTTTATTGATTTGGGTCTTCACTCTCTTTTTTGGTTAGTTGGGCAAACGGTGTATCAATTTTGTTTGTTCAAAAAATCAGCTCTTTCATTTCACTGAATATTTTTTATTTTTTCTTGGTTTCTATTTTGTTTATTTCTCTAGTTTTAAGTATTTCCTCTACTAATTTGAGGCTTGGTTTTCTGTAGTTTTTCTAGTTCCTTGAAATGCATTCATATCTAACTTATTTTGGCCTTTCCAATTTCTTGATGCAGGCACCAATTGTCATAAACTCCCCTCTTAATATTGATTTTGCTGTATCCCATTAAACTTATATGTTGTAATTTATTCTTAATTTAATTCTAGAGTTTTTACTTCTCTTTTGAATTCTTCTGAGATCCACTGTTCATTTACAAGCATGTTGTACTATCTCAATGTGTTTGCATATGTTCTAGAGATTCCTTAGCTGTTATTATTTTTTTTTTTTTGACAGGCAGAGTAGACAGTGAGAGAGAGAGACAGAGAGAAAGGTCTTCCTTTGCCGTTGGTTCACCCTCCAATGGCCGCCGCAGCTGGCTGGTGCACTGTGGCTGGTGCACCATGCTGATCCGAAGCCAGGAGCCAGTTGCTTATCCTGGTCTCCCATGGGGTGCAGGGCCCAAGCACTTGGGCCATCCTCCACTGCACTCCCTGGCCATAGCAGAGAGAGCTGGCCTGGAAGAGGGGCAACTGGGACAGAATCTGGCACCCAACTGGGACTAGAACCCAGTGTGCCAGTGCTGCTAGGCGGAGGATTAACCTATTGAGCCATGGCGCCGGGTTTTTTTTTTTTTTATGTTAAAGTCTATTTTGTCTGATATTAGGATGGTTACACTTACTTTTTTGCCTTCAGTTAGCATGGAATATCTATTTCCATTCTTTCATTTTCAAACTATCTGTATATTCATTGGTGAAGTGTTTCTTGTAGACAGCAATTAGACAGATCTTATTTTTTAATTCCTTCAGCCAGTCTATATCTTTGAATTGGAGATGATTTTAGGCCATTTAAATTTAAGGTTACTATTGATAAGTGACAATGTGGCCCTTCAATTATTTTCATAAATATTCCTATTGTTTACTTTCTATATTTTGACCTTTTACTAGCAGAATTTTTACCTTCACATTGCATCATAATGATGCATATCATGTTGTGTTTCTGTGTGTAGCACATCCTTAATCATGTTTTGTAAGGTTGGATGAGTGTTAACAAATTTCTTCAAGTTCTGTTTGTTATGGAAGGTTGTCATTTCACCTTCAATCATACATGCGAGCTTTGCATTGTACAGTTTTCTGGGTTGACAGTTTCTTTATCTTAAGACTTGTACTATGTCTCTCTAATCTTTTATATCCTAAAGAATCTGATGAGAATTCATCTGTGTGTCTAATTAGAGATCCTCTGAAACTAATCCATTTTTCTCTCATTCACATTTTTTTATATCTCTCCTTATGTTTTACTGTGGAAATTTTGACTACAGTGTGTTGTGGTGAAGATTTTTCCTAGCCATGTGTATAAGAGTTCTATGTTACTTCTGAACTTGGGCATTTATTTCTTTCTCCAAATTATGAAATTTTCTTTAGTTATTTCAGTAAAAAGGCCTTCTAATCTGTTCTCTCTTTCTACAGACTCAGGAAATACTAAGACCTGTGTATTAGGTCATTTAATAGTAATCCATGGCAGCTCACTAGGCTAATCCTCCACCTAGCGGCACCAGCACACCAGGTTCTAGTCCCGGTTGGGGCACCGGATTCTGTCCCGGTGGCCCCTCTTCCAGGCCAGCTCTCTGCTGTGGCCAGGGAGTGCAGTGGAGGATCGCCCAGGTGCTTGGGCCCTGCACCCCATGGGAGACCAGAAAAAGCACCTGGCTCCTGGCTCCTGCCATCGGATCAGCGCGGTGCGCTGGCCGCAGCGCGCCGGCCGCGGCGGCCATTGGAGGGCGAACCAACGGCAAAGGAAGACCTTTCTCTCTGTCTCTCTCTCTCACTGTCCACTCTGCCTGTCAAAAAAAAATAGTAATCCATAAATCTCTAACACTGTTTATAATTTTTCTATTTTCCTCTTCCATTTGTGTGTGTGTGTATGTGACTGAAACATTTCCAAAGTTTTGTCTTTTAGATAATATTTTTTCTACCTCATAAAGTCTGTTCTTAAGGCTTTCCACTGTATTTTTTAATTGACATATTGAATTCTTCATTTGTTGTATTTCATTTTGAATTCTAAATCTTAATTTCATGGGCAAATTTTTCATTCACATCATTTACAGATTTCTTTAATTTGTGAATTTGCTTCTAATTGCTTCTGAGTAATCCTATGATTAATTGCTTGTATTCTGTTTCAGGCATTTCATCAATCTCTTCATCTTCATATTCTAATATTGAAGTTTCATGTTTATTTTAAGGAAGTCATTTCGTGTTCCTTATTTTTTTAAAGATTTTTATTTATTTGAGATATACAGCTACAAATATAGAGGGAAAAGACATATT